TTTTCGAAGCACAAACAATGGAGCTAAAAGGTTGGGTATCGGGCCGATAATCATGAATGACGTGTCGTTATTACACACCACACATTCATTATCTCCCACTCCAGCCATGTCACAGGCGGCTGGAGGAGGGCAGATAACGGGGTGCCTTCATGCAGATGGCTTATTATCAGGATGTTCCAGGAGGGGCTTTAAGACAGTTAGTGATGCTGTTTGCCAGTTAAAGATTAGAGACCCCAGAGAATAATTAACAATCCCAAAACCCAGTTTTTCTGCTGGATTCTTCAGCTTTCTCCCCCCTCCCCCATTCTCTTTAATCTATTCACTCTAGCAGGTGTAATAAAGTGATAAGGACAGGCTCCGGGGATGTTTGTTTGGCTACTACGGGTGTATAAACCAACAATAGATGGTATTTTTCTCCTGGCTTTCAGTGGCTTGAATCGAGACCAAAAACTTTTCAGCCCCCTTGCCCACACACAGCCACCCCTCCATGCCATGCTCCTGGCTTCCACCTGGGTGGCTGGGCTCCTTCCCCACCCAAAGAACCACAGGGGAGGGACAGGCTCCCTTTTTTCCTCTGGAGATCCAAATCACACCTCTTGTGTGTCAAGGTGCCCAATTCCAGGATATAAACCCCAGGTTTGCTCAGGTGCAGGGATAGAGCTGGTGCTGCATTTTACCTGAATACAGCAAATCTGTAATTAAACTACCTTGGGATAATTTATATTGTAGGTGTCCACCTGCCCAAACTGCTCCTGGAACAGAAACATCTCAAACCTTCAGAGCTAAAGAGCCTCGGGAGAGATCAGGGAAGCAGCAAAGGTGGCTTTCAACAAGATATTTCATTATCTGGGGCTCCAAGGGATGGATTGCACCCTCCTAGGTCACCAAGAAAAGTCATGATACACCTGGTAGCAAACTGGGGATGCAAAAGACCCCCACCCTGAATACCTTCTGCCCCAAAGGAGACTACCCTGTCTGCAGCAGAACACAACCCTGGACATCTTCCTGAAGCCTAAGGCTCCAGAGATAATGGCATTAAGGAATGGGGGTTAGGATGAGAACTCGTGGTATCCTTACCTTTCACTGGTGGGCTTGGGGAGGCTTGTGGAGGACCTTCATCCCCCTGTGCTGTGTGGAGAGAGGTGCTGGGGAGGATTTGGCCCTCAGGCGAGTTGGCTTTGGGACCTTCAGAGAGGTCACTGAGGTGGGAGGTGCCTCGCACCCGGGGGTCTCAGGTACAGCCGGACCCTGGAGGACATTCCCCAGCTCATGGTGCAGTGTGGAAAGCACAAGCACTGGCACTCCAGAAGTTGTCTTCCCAATCACGCTCATCCTGCCAGGGAGGGATGAGACAGCATTGTGCTTTAAAGAGCATCCCGACCCTATCAGCAAGAGATGAGATATCCTAATTATGGCAGTACAGACGAGGATCTGGGCTGTATCAGCCAGTACAGAAAGGTAAACAAGAAATATAACAATGGACCCTTAACACTCATTAGCTGTGTCAGATAATACCTCACTTTTCTCCCTTTGGGGCTTAAAATCTAATTAAGATTTTCCAACAATAAATTTCATTTACGCTCGCTCCCTTTTGTTCTTTTAGGATCACACCGAGAAGCATCTGCAAGTGACTGCACAGCTTGCAGGAAGGCAGCTTCAGTCAGCCTCGGCTTGTGATTCACAGACAAGAGAAACTGAGGCAGGACAGCACCCTGGACAGTGCAGAGGTGAGATCCTGCTAGGACACAGCACTGGCTCCTGCACAAGGCGCTTTCCCCAGGGAAGTGAACTCCAAAGGGGCACTGGTTGTCATAAGATCCAGCACAGAAGCTCCTGGGCGAGCCCAGCAGTGAAGCCCTGTCCTTGCTCAGACTTACAGCACGGCAGGGATCCGTGGGGAATGGGACACTGAGACCCACTGAGCACACCTGCACTCCAAACCCACATCCAGGCACCGAGGGGTGAAGAGCTCGGGCGTCTGTCACACATCCACTATGTGCACAGGGCAGGGAATGAACTCCTGTTGTTACTCATTATAAGGGTGACATTGTTCACTTCTTTTGCAACGGAGAGGTAAAAAATTAATGGGTTCCCTTCCTCTCACCACACCCCCAGCTCAAGTGCTGACAGGGCAGGAACAGGCAATGACTAATCCTTAAACCCTGCTGAGTGCAGCAGCACCACTGAACCTTGGGGAACCTGGTTTTTCCAAACCCACATGACATTTGGCACCTGTGAGAGGAAAGTCAGGGGAGCAGCATCCATCAGGGGTGCTGCAGGACCCAGCCTGGTAGCCTCCAGCTACCCTAGGGAGGGTGGTAGATGGCAACAGCTCTGACATGATGCTGGAGATGCAGCCATCCTGCCTTCACATCTGAGGGCCTGACCTCTCCAACCCTTCTGCCTGTTTTCTTCTACTCCCATGCAATTTCTCAACGGGAGCTGTGATTTCTCAATGCCAAGTCTTTGAGTACATTTTCAAAATATTGACTACCTCAGGCTTTAGGGAAAATGCCTTTTGAGGTGTGTCTGTTACTGGAGGACACCTGCCTGAATATTTGTGTCTCCACTTGCGAGGGACGTCAGCA